CTGAATACACACCTATTTCATGTAGGTTTCCAAAAGCAAGTTGGGAGAACAGTGTAGCCCATGTTCATTATGTCTCCATGGATTGCTCTCCAGGGTGTGTTCTTTGATGTCGAACAAGAGATGAGTTCCTTCTGAATGTTTTCCCACACTGAGGACACTGACTGGGACCCTCCCTACTATGGAGTCTCTGGTGTACTGCCAGGTGAGAGTTCTGCTTGAAGGATTTCCCACATTCCAGACACTGGTATGGAGTCTCCTTAGTGTGAATTCTCTGGTGCTTAGTCAGACAGGAGCTATCCCTGAAAGCTTTGCCACACTGATTACACTCATAGGGCTTCTCACCAGTATGAGTCCTTTGGTGCCGGATGAGGCCAGCAATGTTCCTAAAAAGTTTCTGACACTGGTTACAGCCATAGGGTTTCTCACCAGTGTGAATTCTCTGGTGCCTGATGAGGTATGCACTCTCAATGAAAGTTTTTCCACATTCCTTACATTCATAGGGTTTCTCCCCAGAATGTATTTTTTGATGCACAATGAGGTGAGAGTTGCGATTGAAGGATTTCCCACATTCTGCACATTCAAAGGGCTTCTCTCCAGTGTGAGTCCTCTCATGTTGGGTGAGGTATGAGCCATCTCGAAAAGCCTTTCCACATTTGCTACACTCATAGGGTTTCTCCCCAGTGTGGATCCTGAGATGCACTGTGAGATGAGAGATGTCAGTAAAGGGTTTCCCACACTCATTACATCTATATGGTTTTTCCCCTGTATGAGTTCTTTGATGTAAAATAAGGGATGAATTTCGGTTAAAGGTTTTCCCACATTCTAGACATTCATAAGGTTTCTCACCCGTGTGAATTCTCTGGTGTTGTGTCAGAGCTGACCCATCACTGAAAGCTTTCCCACATTTATTGCACTTATACGGCTTCTCTCCTGTATGGATCCTTTGATGTACAATCAGATTGTAGTTCTTGGAGAAGGATTTTCCACACTCATTACAGCTATAAGGTTTCTCTCCAGTATGAGTTCGATAATGCAAAACAAGAGAAGAGTTTCGTTTGAAGCATTTTCCACATTCAGCACATTTATGAGATTTTTCTCCAGGGTGAGTCCTCCTATGTTCATTCACAGAGGAGCTCAGGGTAAAGATATCTTTACCTTCATATACTTTCTTGCCTTTTTTCATTTTTTTGGTATCATCAAGGCAAGTAAAATGGTGGAAAGATGTAACACTTTCAGGGTATTTAAAGAGCTTCTCCTTCATTTGATTTCTTCCAAGCTGAATAACTTCCATGGAGTGGTCAAAGTCTTTAGCACAGGCATCACTGTCACCAGTTCTCTTACTTGCATAATTTTTAGGACAATCAAGTAAGACTGGATCAGAATTCAAACTCTGAACATGTGAGTCATGTATATAGAAACTATTTGTTGTAGGAACTCTCTGAGATGGTACCAAGTCTGAGCATGCACTCAACTGCTCCCCAACAACAGTACATTCATAAACTGCTTCTTGAGTTCCTGGTTTCTCCGGAGTTAAAGCTGACTGCTTCAAATGTCTCTTCTGGTTTACACAGTCCCAACCATCACTGAGAATGGAAAAACATGGAGCCTCCCTTGAAAATCCTTCCATATCACAGCATAGTTCTTCCTTAGAAATATTCCGAGTTATCACTTTCATTCTCATAATCCAGGGGCGAGCGGACGGCGACAGCCATGGAGTTGTGCGCACACTGTGAGATGAGAGATGTCAGTAAAGGGTTTCCCACACTCATTACATCTATATGGTTTTTCCCCTGTATGAGTTCTTTGATGTAAAATAAGGGATGAATTTCGGTTAAAGGTTTTCCCACATTCTAGACATTCATAAGGTTTCTCACCCGTGTGAATTCTCTGGTGTTGTGTCAGAGCTGACCCATCACTGAAAGCTTTCCCACATTTATTGCACTTATACGGCTTCTCTCCTGTATGGATCCTTTGATGTACAATCAGATTGTAGTTCTTGGAGAAGGATTTTCCACACTCATTACAGCTATAAGGTTTCTCTCCAGTATGAGTTCGATAATGCAAAACAAGAGAAGAGTTTCGTTTGAAGCATTTTCCACATTCAGCACATTTATGAGATTTTTCTCCAGGGTGAGTCCTCCTATGTTCATTCACAGAGGAGCTCAGGGTAAAGATGTCTTTACTTTCATATAGTTTCTTGCCTTTTTTCATTTTTTTGGTATCACCAAGGCATGTAAAATGGTTGAAAGATATAACACTTTCGGGGTAATTAAAGAGCTTCTCCTTCATTTGATTTCTTCCAAGCTGAATAACTTCCATGGAGTGGTCAAAGTCTTTAGCACAGGCATCACTGTCACCAGTTCTCTTACTTGCATAATTTTTAGGACAATCAAGTAAGACTGGATCAGAATTCAAACTCTGAACATGTGAGTCATGTATATAGAAACCATTTGTTGTAGGAACTCTCTGAGATGGTACCAAGTCTGAGCGTGCACTCAAATGCTCCCCAACACCAGTATATTCATAAACTGCTTCTTGAGCTCCTAGTTTCTCCGGAGTTAAAGCTGACTGCTTCAAATGTCTCTTCTGGTTTACACAGTCCCAACCATCACTGAGAATGGAAAAACATGGAGCCTCCCTTGCAAATCCTTCCATATCACAACATAGTTCTTCCTTAGAAATATTCTGAGTTATCACTTTCATTCTCATAATCCAGGCTGAAAAGAAAAGAAAGAAAAAGGTAGACTTACATACATTAATTTGTTATCTGGAAAAGTAATGGAAAATACTATGTGTGGGTATGTAGCTTTACTTTTTTAAAAATTCGCATCTGTATAAGGAGAAGATAAAATGAATAGAATAGTATTTAAAAAAAAAAAAGGCACATAGCAGGCCAATCAAGAGGAATGGAGGTTAAGGTGGCTGGATGCCACATGGCCAACTGTGCAGTAAGTCCTGGACCAGGCAGCTTGAGAAACACACTGGACCCGTGTGCACAAATGCCCCAAATCCCAAGAGAAGTGAGAAGGGATTGCGGCAGGCAATCCTCCTGTGGGATGTTTTCTCACTTTCTCTTTTTCTCTGTCTCTCCAGTGAATGTGCATAACATTTAGCAAATTTTAAAAGCATCTTTCGAAAGGAGGAGGGGGCACACAACATTTTTATCTTCAAGAGATCAGGCAGGAGGAATGCTATTGGGTATAAGTATCACCAAAAGAATTAGTTTGAGACATAGAGGACCAGAGGCCAGACTAGGAATATAGAGAACTAGGGTGAATATCACCCTAATATCTAATGAGAAAACATTAGAATGGTTCACTTTAAAGCTAAGGCCAAGATTTCAAATGACTGTTATGTCTACAGCATTCAACAGGACATGGAGGGGACAGCTGGTGAGGACTGCACTCTCAAATGTCACTGCTAGATGCCACAGGACTCTCCCACTGACAGGGCCTCCTAACATTGCCCTGTCACCAAGACATGTTTCCTGTGCTAAGCCTGCCAGGTAGACTTAGATGTGTTATCCTATGAAAACAAAAGACTCATGAGCACCTCTTCCCAGGATTGTAGAGTAGATGTGCACAGTAGAAATGAAGTATTTAAATACCTAAGGATGATATCTCTTAAGTGAAATATTTCAGAAGCACACGATATCTTGGAAGTAAAAACACAGTTGTCCCCCCTTATCTGTGGTTTCATTTTTTTGCAGTTTCACTTTCCACAGTTTTAGTTACCCATGGTCAACCATGGTACAGAAATATTAAATGGAAATAAACAATTTATAAGTTTTAAATTACAAACAGTTCTGAGTAGCATGATGAAATATCACACTGTCCTCGTCTGTCCTCTTGAGGATATTAATCATCCCTTTGAGTACCACCTCATTTACCAGATCGACAGGTCACAAGAATGGTGAGTACAGTACAATGAGCTATTTTGAGAGAGACAGATCACATTCATGTAACTTTTACTGTAGTATATTGTTACAATTGTTCTATTTTATTATAGTTATTGTTGTTAATCTCTTACTGTGCCTAATTTATGAAGTTTATCATATGTATGTATATATAGGAAAAACCATAGTGCATGAAAGGTTTGGTACTATCCACTGCTTCATGCATCCACTGGGGGTCTTGGAACCTATTTCCTACAGATAACGGAGGACTACTGTAATGCCCTGGCAAGACACCCATCAAAGCTGTTTGTGAGTCTATAGGTGGCAGGAAGAAAAGTCAGCCTTGAGAAACAAAGAGAATGTTCATTTCATCTATAGTAGATTATCAAAAATAAAACAAATACCACCAAGGAATTAAAAAGACAGACCACCAAATGGGAGAAAAATATTGGGTTGTCTGGAAAGTTATAACATATTTTTGCACAGAAAAATGTCATGACTTTACCAACAAGCTATATGTATATGCTTGTATCTAGACTATATAAAATTCTTGGACCTGGCAGGTGGTGTGGTGGTTATGGGTGCTGGACTCCCATATAGCCAACTGCAGTTCAAGTGCCGGATCCTGTGGCTTGCTTTCTCACTTTCCCCACTCCTCCAACTCTGTCCCTCTCTAGTCAAATTAAAATAAATAAACAAATAAAGTTAAATAAAATAATTCTTTTAAAAAAATAATAAAACTTAAAAATTTAAAAAAAATTAAAAAGACAACTCAATTTCTAAAAAGTAATAAAGGATCCTGTCTTCATTTGGCTACTATGACAAATATACCATAAACTGGGTAGATTACACAACAGAAATTTTTTTCAACATATATATCTTAGGGGAACACCTTCAGTCCATAGCATATCTGAATAGACATGAGGGAACTTCAAAAGGCTCATGAAAAATGGGATTAAATGTTTATTTTGGTGTAAACATTTTTTTGAAATTTATGTATATTTTTTCATAATTCACATTTTCTATGAGCTCCCCCCTCCATATTTCTCCAAAGAAGACATACAAATTGTCAACACATACATGAAAAGATAATCAACATCATTAATTATTAGGGAAGTGCTGATCAAAACCACAGTGAGGTACCACTGCAGACTCACTTGGATGATCAACATTTAAAAAATAAATAAATAAATAAAGGCAGAGTAACACTAGCAAAGAGAATATGGAGAAACTGGAACTCTCATCTACTGCTGGCAGAAATGCAAAATGGGGGACCAGCAGTTAGCGTAATGGCTATGTCACTGGACTCCCATGTAGTCAACCGCAGTTCGCGTCCCAGACCCGGTGGCTTAAAACTCACGTCGGGTGCGTGTGCGTACGTGCCCCAGATCCCGAGAGGAGACTGGAGAAGGGATTGTGGTGTGACCATCCCCCCTGAGGGGTGATTTCTCGGTTTCTGTCTCTCTGTCTCTCTCTGTCTGGCGAGTGCACACGCCCTATGCCAAAAACCTCTCAAAAAAACAAATGAACAAACAAAAAACAAACAAACAAACAACAAAAAATAAAACACTAGCAAAGAGAATATGGAGAAACCGGAACTCTCATCTACTGTTGGCAGAAATCTCTCTGCCTGTCTGGCAAGTGCACGTGCCCTATAGTGAAAACCTCTACAAAAAAAAAATAGAAATGCAAAATGGTGCAGCTGCTTAGGAAACATATAGCAGTTCTCAAAAAGTAAAATACAGGCGGGCCCTGCCCGCGCTCTGCGCAGCGGCAGCGACAGTGGGCCCTGCC